TGTAAATCTTTATAAGATATTTTCAAAATCCAATTTCTCACATTTATTATCTAATATATTTTTTTTATATAATATTGATTTGTATTTTCTTTAAAAAATTATGAATCTTAGACCGAACATGGACCTCGAACCTGGGATTGGGTTCGGCCTAATGAACCCGTTCCTACCAAACCCCTTTTTAAAATTTTCCCTGAACCCAGACCTGGACCTAACCTGGTTGAAAATTTCGACAGGTCCTGAACTCTGCATTTAAATCATTTTATTATGTTATTTAATGTATATTTTTTAAATTACACAAATATTTTTTTAAAAAAGTTTGCTTTAGAAGGTACTAATGACACCACCCTAATAAATCTGATTTATTATTTTGTTTGGATCGCCACTACCACATATGGCAATAATATGCACTAAAAAAATTATCGGTCTTGAAAAGCGTCTGTGCTAGTCGGTGTATGCAATGCGTATATCACTTATACTATAAATCTTGATTTGATTCTAGAAATAAAATAAAAATGGCTCTAGCTATTTTTAAAAAATTAGTCATTGCTTACTAAATTACCAAATTTATATTTCGACTTGGCATCGTTTAACATTAACCTAAAAATACAAAATGGGTTTTAAAAAATTATGTGTATCTCATTTCATTGTTAATTCAGTTGTTATATTTTTATTAGTTTCTCGGAGGTCATTAATTAATTAAGAAATTTTCAACATTCTTAAACGGGTTATCAATACAGTAAAAGTGGTGTTGTTAAAAAAATGAATTGTTTATCAGAGGACAATTTTGAATAATAATTAACATTATGAATTATAAAAATTCTTATATAAAGAAGAAAATAAATATACATTCATCATAATTAAAGATCAGTGCACCGGCCTGCCCTAAATAACTGTGATTTTCAGGCTGGACAAATTGTGCATGATATTTTTACGGACGGGTAGAAGTTTTAAAATAATTTTTAAAATTAAATTAGGCCTAATTATGTCGTTTTCCTTTATAAATAATCATCATGGTCGAGTCAAACAACTAGTACAAAATATATTTTATGGACCGGAAAAAAATAATTACGGTCCAGGCAAAAAAACTCAATAAAAAATTCCCACGGCTTTCGGGTCAGTCCTCGCCCACCTTTAATTGTCACTATAATTATTTATATATGTGAATTTTGTGATTTTTGTTGTGTATAATAAATATATTCATGTCGATTGATGAAATAAATATATATTATAATTTTTCATAGTAGTGTGGTAACGGTATCATATTTTTTTTAATGTAACGTAAACATAACGACGTTACTATTGGTTATAAACAAAACTCATATATTTGGGAATTTTTTTTAAAATTTATATAAAGATCTTCTATATAATATTATAGGAGTTGATCATATTCATGGCAATACTCACTTTAAAGTTTAAAAAACTAGGTATAGTGCGCCTTTTTTAATTTTTATTTAATTTTTCCTGAAATGTATTTCAGAATGAGTATATAGGTTCCTGCCTTTTGAATTTCAGACAATTGTGCTATGAAGGTTTGAATCGATTTCAATTTAAATAAATTTTACCAACTATCTTATTCCTTATGTTTTCTCTATAAAATTGAAATTTATTTAACCCTTCCAAAATGTCAGAATCCGCAATTGCCGAGGGAAATCCGCGAAAAATTGAATGATTTTTTTAAAATGAATTTGAAACTTGGAGATATTAAACCTGTTTCAACTAGTGAACTATGCCATTCTTAAAATTCACAAAAAGTTAGGTGATGAAATAAGCGTTTTAAAATGGCCCTCATCAGATCCAACTTTGGTCTGTATTTTAAATTTTTGGGAAGTAACATTTAATTTTCAAGTTTTTATTGATTTGGGAAGTATTTAAAATAAACAGGTAGTTTTAAAATAATTTGGCAGGCATTTAAAATTTTTGGTCAGTTAATAAATAATTTTCCCGTTTTTATATTTACTTAGGCAGTTTTAATTTTCTACACTAAATTTTAAAATGGATATGAAACCAATTGATGAATATTATTCAGATTCATCTGAATACTATGAAGAACCTGTTAATAGGATGGAAAAATGAAAAATCAAAGATATTGCTTTAAGGAAAAGATTTTCAAAAATTCTGAAGTTCAGGAATATCTAAATAATAATTCCTGGGGGTCAACCATATGCAAATGATACAGAAAAGAGGTGGCTGTAGCCACAGGGGGGATTTATCGCTTCCTAAACCTGGCTTTTGCAAAAATATATGGCTCCCAAATTAAAAAAAAAATTTAATTATTAAATAAATCTTAAACAAAAATGCAACAAAATTTTTAGAAAAATATTATTTATTTAACTTATACAAATTAAAAAAACATGTTGTGAAAGCTTGAGCAATAATATTCGTTATATATTTCGTGGAGAAATCCAAGAAAATTTAATGAATCATTAATTTACAATGTCTTTCTGCTAAAGCATTAATAATTGTATTTTGAAGCAACAATTAAATATTAATTTATCGAATATAATAAGCCAGACATATGATGTGCAAACGTCATGTCTGGCCGAAATGGAGGAGTACAAACCCTACTTCAAAATAAATTAATAGAAAAATGCCTTATATTCATTGCTACAACTACAAGTTGCATCATGTAGTTCAAAATTAATATAATAATATTGTTATCATTTCTAATTTTTTAATTTATCTAATGCATTGTATAATTTTTTAGGCGTTTTAACGTATCCTGTAAATATGCAGGCCATATTCTTAAGAGTAGACTAGAGGTGGACTGGTCATTTAAAAACATCTCGTATCATTTATAAGAATTTTAAGTCTATTGGTGAAGTATTATTATACTTCTTTAATAGAACTCTTAACTCAGAGGTTCCCTCTCATGATTCAGTTACTATGGTCTTTTATCTTAATGCGTTAATATAAATCACATTTTGGTCATTTAAATTTATGAGGCATTAATAAAAATGGATCCACTAAATTAGTATATAAAATCAGTAGGTATAAATAAATGAAATGATAATTATTTTGATTTGCTAAGAATTAAGGCTGAGAAACTTATACCAAAATTTAATTTCATCCCTCAAAAATCATCGAGGTACGTCAAACGCCTACAAATCTTCACGATTTTCTAGTCGATGCACTTTGATTATGAAAAGGACTTCAATTGGAATTCTTTAAAAAGGTATTATTATAATTACTGATTACTATGTAGATCGTTTAAAAGATAGATTTACACAAGATGATAATAATTTTCTATCATGTTTTAATACATTGCCCCTTCCCTGACTCTAATTATTTTATATCAGATAAAATGACCCTATTAGAATCATTATAAAACTTAAATATGGAAACGTTGCATCATGAAATGTAAATAGCAAAAGGATTATTAGTTGCAGAAGTTAAAGAAACACATAATTTTGAAAATATCCTAAATATTATGTATAAAAAAAATATCATCATGCATAAAGAATTATATAAATTCTCCTCAGCAGCCATCATCATTGGGGTATCAATGGCTTCTTGTGAGACCTCGTTCTCTACATTAAAGAGAGTTCTATCGATCACTAGATAATCTATGAAAGATCAACGTAAACAAAATTTAGTATTGGCTTATGGGAAAAAAATAATACAGAATTTATCTTTTAATTCATTCATGTTAAAATTTAAAAATAAACATCGTCGTTTACAAGTTTTTAATAAAAATTGCAAAAAATTTCTATGAGTGCTATGCTAAACTATTTGTTTTATTCAAAAAAATATTGGCCCCCTAAGTAAATGCCACCTCCCCCCCCGTAACTGAAAATTCCTGGCTATGGCCCTGGAAGAGGGTAAGATAATTTACTTAGATGTAATTTCGTTTTTTAAAAGGAGAACAATGTGCTGCAAGAATTTATTTCCTTTATAATTCTAATGATAATGATGATAATATAACATACATATTTCAATATTATACTCATGAACTTATTGAAACTAAAATTCTCAAAATGTAAAATTAGAGATAAATGCTTTATTTAAAATGGGCCTCAAACCTAAAATGATTTGGAATATTTACAAAAATTCAAAGGTTAGTAAATTTTAATTATTGTTATAAATACATATAAATTATTTTCTATTCTTTAGATCTGCTCAAAAGACACCGTGTGCATATTTAATATATTTGTTAATTTACTAATTTTTATATATTGATATGTAAATTTTCAGAAAAATTCTTGATGACTTATAAAAGAGATATTTGTCTTGTTTTACAATAACATGTAAGTTTTAATTAAATATTTAGATATAAAAATTATTTTCAAGAAAAACTGCAATCTTATAACATTTTTGATATTTAATTTAATTTACTAACTATTTCATATTTGATATATTAATTTTAATATAACATACTTGATAGCTCATAATAAAAAATATTTGTATAAATACTAAAGGGCTTTAAAATAAATACTTACAATACAATTTTAGTTACAATTCAAATTTTTTTTACTGCTCAATATTATATAAATACTGCCCAAATTGTTTATTTTTTTGATAAAAAATACTACCCATTTTGATAAATTTACTGCCCAGAAATTTATAAATACTCTCAAAAATTAATTTGTTGATAATAAAAATACTGCCCATTTCGATTCATTTATTGCTCAAAAAAATCATAACCGTTTTTTTATATTATGGCATGGTAAATTTATTGTAAAAGAAAATGACCTCCTATTTAATATTGCTTCATTTTAACTGCATGATTAGTAGTATCAGTCTCCAATAATTTTAAACGTTGTCAAAATATTACTTTGTATATAATGTCAATATATTACGCTTTTAGTGAAAATTATTTTTTGTCCCTATCGAGTTTGCTTTATTAACGAGGCTTTACTTTGTTTTCCCAACCAAAAAATAACAATGTCTTTTAAGAATTTGAGGTTTAGTGAGTAAAAACTATTAAAAGAGGGTTTAAACATGATAATGCAAAATAAATAATCATTTCATATTAAATTCTATAAACAGTTAAAAATTTGAACCAATTAAAGGATGTCCGGATTCATCAAAGCCCAAATACCATGATGAGTCGTAAACTGAACGAAATTTGATGTAACTATGATCGTATAATTCTGCGAAATCACACAAACTTCGAGCTGGTCTCATCTTAAGATTTAAAAAAAATATAAATTGGTATTATTTACTGATTATCAATTTATAAAATTTTCTTCTTTCTTTCTTTCTTCTTGTTTAGTTAAATTATCCAAGTTATTTCCTGAATATTTAAATTTACTACATAATATAAAAATAAAGAATAAAATTATTTTGAGTTTGAAATATATTTCTTAATTATATTATAGAAATTTGGACGGCAGCTGGGCTATACTTGAAATTTTTTTTTACCCAATATCAGGGGATAGCTTGAAATTTTTTTTTTATCAGATGTCTTCAAAACAAAAAATTTAGGGCTCTAACCATTATGAATAAGGTTACAGTTTGATTACGGTCTAAAATGATAAAGATCATGGTTTGATTTAGGGACTAAAAATTATACGTCTTGCAGTTGAGAAAGGTTCATTTAGGTCTTAAAATTTCGCAAGAAAAAGATAAGTATTATAAAATAAATTAGTACACTTGCTAATTTCAACAGAAGTGCAAAGTGTTATCATTTCCAAAAAAAAATCTTCTAATAAGGGTTTGTTCCATTTTAATTGTTTGGACTCTGTTGCTAAAAACAAACAGGTCTTTATTTTTGATAATATAAATATTCATCATATTACTCTTGCTATCAAACGAGCCTGGCGATCAAAACACACGTAATAGCCGGTTTTTGCACTTTTTATTCTGATTCTTCCATGTTTTTTGGACGGTTCGGAATATAGTTGAGCTTAAAGATAAAATATTATAATTTAAATCATTAGTCAAGAGTTAGATCTATAATGAAATAACAATCATTTATAAATATTGTCATATTTTTAATATTGATAAAATATATTAGAAAAAGAATAAAATGAGAGAAAATGAGATGAAATAAAGGCAATCATAAATAATTGTTGTCTTCTATTTCAAAACATTTTCAAGTTTTATATAAATGTAGTTATGTTTAGAAAAGAGACAAATATTTTGGATAAAATTTAAACACTTTTGAGATAATGCACTTTTTGTTAATTGCAACAAATGATTTTGTTTATACTAAATGAAATGGATGATTAAGATTAAGCCTATTTTATTTTATACTCAACTCATTAATAAAAATTTTGCAGATAGGATTGAGTCAAAATCAATAAAATACTCCTATTTTTAGCCGACATAAATTTATCAAATAACATTTTATCAAAAAAAATATACATTTTAATTAATTAATAAATCCTACATTTTTTGCACTCATAAAATTAATAGGTATTTTTTATTCATTTACAAAGGTATATAAAAAATATTTTAAAAAAATTAAAATTTTTATATGATTTTACTTTTTTTACCGACGGAGTCTTAAATCTATCATGTGAAATTTTTTTATGAGTTTTCACAAAAAAAAATTAAAAGTGAATAAATTTAATACTTTTTTTTAAGTATTTTACGGTGTTTTATTATTTTTCTGAAAAAACAGAACTGATAAATATTAAAAAAAAATTTTAAAATTAAATTTAAAATTTAAAGGAAAGTTTGTAGTCTTTGAATTGTAAAGAATAGTAGCCAGGAGGAAGAGTTATAAAATTTTTTGTAAAACAATCGCATTATCAATAACACTTGTGGAATGTTGAAATATAATATAATGAGTAAATTTTACACCATCTAAAATAAAAATTATAAAAATATGCTAAATAAAATATACTGATGAAGTCCTTTTTAAAACTGATATTTTCTCCCTAATATAATATTAAACTGGCCCACTAAATCAGTTTATCTTAATTGGCAATCCGATAAATAAACAAATAAGGCTATAACTTGAAATTATAACCATTAATTGACAAAAATAGGCATTTTTTAAATTAAGAGTGATTACTAATACCAATCTAACCTTAGTAAATTAATTAAGAAGTTAAAATTATTGTCTCATGGAGATTTTATTAATGCACCATATTAATAAACATATATATACTATGCTATAAGAAAATTAATTATATAAAAATAAACATTGTAAAATTAAAATAATTTTAACATTTTTTTTGTATTTCATTTTTTTTATGATACTTATGAGAAAAGTTCAAATAACTTATTTTTATCTCCGATTCAACCCTTTGACAATAAAAAAAAAATTTAAATTACAATAAAATTTGATATTTTATTTCTTGCAAAATAAAAAAAAAAATTTCCTTTTACCTTTGTAGATTATTAACACGTAAGATTTTAAAAAAATAGTAAAAGGAGGCACAATAATGAATAGATATTATATAATATAAAACAAATAAAGAGACCGATAGATGGAAGACCAACACAGGTAATTAAATTATTGCCGAAAACCTAAAAATATGGGCAGATTACTATTATATAAATCATAATTAAACATTCTTTTTTATTTTATTATATTAAAATTATTATTATAATACTTATTCGTTTCTGTAATTAGATTAGATCAGAATACATTTAAATTTAAAAGAAATCGCAAGCAAGGATTAACCCTAATGTGGTTATTACCTAAACAGCCATTATAAGAGACCTGTATCTAGGTTTATTCAAAAACATATATGTCATTCCTAATGATTGATTAACAAGGTATAATATATCAACTGCTCATAAAGGCTTTTCTTTAATTTTCTGTTAAAAAATCACATGTTATAAAGAAGAAACATTAAGAAAATCTCTTTGCTTTAAAAATTGGATTGGTATTATAAATTAATCGTTAATAACTTGGTTTTCATTTTATAATATTGATAATAATTCAAATCGAATACTAGTAAATTTTATTAGTAGTGTGAATACAAATAGTAAATGATATGAATAATGCACTATTCGATGATTATTCGTTTTTGAATAGACTTATCTGTATGTAGGTATCAATTTTCTTGGTTTTAAAAATCTTTTTATTTTCTAATCAAGCTCCACTCTAATTATTTCTGTGGGGATTTTAAATTTTATTTAAAATGATTTTTGCCATTAATAAATGATTTTCGGTAAAAAAATTGACCACGTCCGAGTTAATAATTTTTAATTATAACATTTCCTATTGGTTTGAATTATTTATTTCTCTTTCACTTTTCTTTCTTTCTTTCTTTCTTTCTTTCTTTCTTTCTTTCTTTCTTTCTTTGTATTATAAAATATCTCAAGCGAAAATATGTTATATTTTTTAAAATTTTAATTGAACTAAGTATGTTATTTAATTTAGAATTCTCATCAATAAAATTGGCTGAAAGTTTTAAACAGGGAACCACCTGAGTTAAGCTAAATCAGATGAAAAATGTATCTGATTATTATTTTTGGATACTATTTTCCTTCTCCAATATGTTATGTTATATTGACTTTATTGATAAACCAATATTATTTATTTAAAATTATTTTTCGGAATAGAAACTGTTTCGGGAAAGTTTCGGAATCACCGCTCTATTTCCTTATGTTTTATAATATCATTTTTTAAAAAATTTAAAAAAAGAATCTGACAAATTATTTTTTAAAATCTAAAAATATATTTTATAGAAATAAAAAAATCTATTTTTTAAAAATGGGGGGCGGGGGGGGGGGGGGGTCGTTTAGAGGAATATAAAACATATTATAGGGCCAAGGATAATATAATCATTTTTAAATATAAAATATTTAATTACAAAGTCAAGGTTTTGTAAATATAAATAATTTCTTTACAAAAGTAACATTTTAAAATAGGCAAGTAGGTATATAAAAAAATTTTAAACTTAAAATATGATTTAACAAAGGAATTTCAAATATTTTTGATAAAAATGTGGTATAAAAAAGTATCTTATCTAGTGAGACATTTAATAGTACTTTCCTTTATCAAAATTCACCTTAAAAACGTCATAAAAATTTTAAAGTATATTAATAGTGTTTGATATAAAAATTAAATAAATATAGAATAAGTGGCTAATAATAGTTTCTATTAAATCATAACAAAAAATTATATCATGGTTATATATATCAGATATAGAGGCGACGTAGAACCAGTGAACTCTATATTCCCTGATACTTGACGCGAAATACTCACTAATTTAAAATTTCACTTCCCCCTCCTTTTACTCCAAATAATTTCCTATTGGTTTTAAATTTTTTCACTTTCCTTTATAATCCCCTCACCCTCTTTAAACGTTAAACGAATTCTATAAAAGACGCATTAAGCAGAGTTGTTAAACGCTACTTTAAAAGTAGCGCGCTTCGCTAATTGTCAAAAAAAGTAGCGCGCAATTAGCTATTATTTTTTAAAAGTAGCTTTAGCTACTTTTTAGGCTAATTTTATAAAAAAAATTCAAATTTGTTTTATTTTTTGCTTATAATGTTATTGTATAGTAAATATATAAAGATCAACATTTATAGATATTAAAAAATAGTTAGTTTTGATTATAAAAAAATTTATGTAATAAAAATAAATATTTATGGTAATTTGTTGCATTTTAATAATAAAATCATTTCAATATTATCATCCCCAAGTCTAGAGCGACAATCATAAAGTATAATTATAAAATCAACAATAACTTTATCAGCCAATTTCTGAGAAATATTGGCATGTATTATTAATTAATTTAGTTTGAATTGAATTAGTCTTTTTGGATGTAGAGTCGTCTATACCAAAATTATTTAGATGTTTCTCCATTTCCTTAAAAGTATTGGCATGAACAGTCTTATAAAATAAATACTATTAGAATGTAAAAATGACAATTTACCTTAGGTGTTTCTTGAGGTTATAGCTACTGGATTGATTTGAGGAAATATTTTTTTACATTTTAAACAATTAAATTTGAAGCCAGTTTTGATTTTTATATTTATTTTAAAAAAAATTTCAAATCTAGGAAATAGGAAATTTGTATTATAGCTATTAAGAACATTTTCTTCCCTGGTATCTTCCATTTCATTAATATCAATGTCTGAATCATTTACAACGATTTGGATATCAATAGGCGATGACATTTTAAAATATTAACACGTGATTTAGGTTTATAATACAAATAAAAATTACAAATTAAAAATATATTACAATTTCAAAATTAAATAATAAATCATAAAAATTATAATTAATTATGATATTATATTTAAATTTTTATGTTTATACTTACCTTCATTATATTTTTTAAAAGTAGCTAAGTAGCGCGCTAAAAAATTAAATAATTACAAAAAAGTAGCCGCTATTAGCTATAAGCGCGCTACACAACTCTGGCTTTAAATACCTTTATGAATAAATTTATGATAAAAAAATTAATATTATTTCTTCCAAATTGAGGCTTGAATGTCTTTGGCAAGGTGTATCCAAATCAGTTATAAAATATATTGTGATAAACAATGATTTATATGAATCAATCTATTTTTGGTTGATATTTCTAGGCATATAGCCTTAGGGAGTTGCAAATAACAAAAGTGAATAAAAATGGTAATGGAGAAGAAGAACCCTAGTGAGAAAAATCACCGGGGATTGTACTCCACATGATAAAAATCTCCTGAACATTCCAAATTTCTATTAAATTAACATACGGGTAAAAAAAACATACAAAAACTCTATAATAAAAATCCCAGTAAGGAAAAATCATATTTTTTTAACATATACGTTAATTTAAAGTTTCATTTGTAATTTTCTTCCTTAAATCAATGCATAAAACTATAATATAAATTAATCATTCGGTAAATTTATTTATTTACGGGGTTCAAATGGAAGAATAGCTTAAACTTCCAAAATAAATCTTTATTTTCACACAATAATATATGCTAAAAAAATATTTAAAATCTTGGCCATTA